TAAGAATTTTTTTAAAGATAATAATGGTTTAGTGATACAAATCTTACTAATTAACCCATAGCTGGGAGAAAAGTGGTGGAATCGTATCTTTCCCAAGGGTATTTGTACGCTCAAGATATATATCATAAAATCAAGAACGAATAAAAAAAAGTTTATCAATCTAAGATGTTTCACTTTTATTAAAGCTTCATCAGAAAATGACAAATGGAGAAAAATGAGAAATAAACTTTGACATTTTTACTTTTGTGCTGTTTGATTTTCATTGCTGTAGCGTAGAAATGTTAGTTCTCATGTTGTGACCAAATAAATGGTTAAAGAAATAACAATACAAGTGTTGCAGATATATCATATATTAAACAGTAAATACAACAGAAGAATTTTAAACGACTAGAGAGTGTGTGTCGGTTGACCCAGCGTTCAATCTATTCGACTGTTAATATTTAACAGCCTCCCCCCCATCTCGGCCGAGAGGAACTCAGCCGAGGCAGAGAATTCGATAGTTACAAACAGGCTGGTCGACTGATATATTTAACAGCCCCCCACCACCACCACGAGGGGTGTATGTAGCACAAGGGCGAGTTTACTGTGGGTTCTCCGAGCCCGTAGCCTCGGCCAAAAATATTTCTTTAGAACCCGTATAAACGTGTTCAGGGTCTCCTACCTCCCCGGACGAAACTTTACCCTGCGGCAAAGCCTCGTCCGGGTTCCTCTCTGCCGAGGCAGACAGTTCAACAGAAACGAACAGTCTGGTCGACTGTTATATTTAACAGTCCCCCCCCCCGCCACAAGGAATGTATGTGGCACAAGGCCGAGTTTATTGGGGGTTTCTCCGAGCCCGTAGGATCGGGCAAAAATATTACCTTTGAACCCGCCAAGACGGGTTCAGGGCCTGTCTACCTCCCCGGACGAAACTTTGCCCTGCGAGGCAGAGGGTTCGACAGTGAACAGTCTGGTCGACTGTTCCCCAAAGGCCTTCTACTAATCTTATAGTTAGCGGAAGAGTCCAACATAGACTCTTTGGAGGGAGGACACCACAGTACATTAGGTACTGGGGGACTTCCACAGTCAGACATAAGTTACCTCCCCCAGTGTTATATAAACAGCAGAGTGGCCAGGAGCTAAGTGTATTTTTGTATTTGTATCTCGTTTAAAGTAATTGAAACTTTCTACTAATATTGCCGTTGTGTTTATTTTACATCGCACTGCTAACAGAATCTGATGAATACGCATTCAACCTTATAGATGCTGAAACCTTAAATTCAGCTACGGAGGAAAGTCTTTTGTCACGCATCCGATTCGTTGCAGTAAAAAGCTTGCACAAGGAAGTTCACCAGCCAACTTTCAGGCGGAATATGCGTCAATTACTCATTTTTTAGCAAGGCTACGAGCTCCAGCCAAATTTTGCTCGTTCACAGTTGTCTTAACACGGAAGGCCGTGGTCAGAGCGTCAACTACTCGTGTGACATGATAGTTGGTCAGATGATTGCGGGTCTCGCCAACGAAGGGCAGCAGAGTCGAGCTTTGGTCGAGGCTGCCAACCTCACTACACTCGAGCAAAATTTTGACTGACTCGTCAGCTTGGAAACGACGGTAAAGTCAGCTGCTCAGTTACGAGATGATTTTAGCCCGATAACCTTGTCCTACCTACAGATATCTGGCCATGAGCACCGCGCGTTTCGACAACCCAAGAGAAATAATGTATCCGCTTCATCGCCGAATAAGAACCATTGTGTGGGTTTAGGGAAGACTTTCCGCCCAGGTGGATCAATTTGTAGGTAAGATTGCCCAGCAGCTGAACTGGTATATCATAATTGCGCGATTAGGGGACACATAAAAAGGGTATATATCTACTAAAACTGAAATTGGGAGCACGAACAAATCTATAAGGTACGAGACGGGACGTGATTCGTTCACTTTCCAGAACCCTAATCTGAAAGTTCCCCCACCAGCGCCATCCGCTATGCTGGCAGATCAAAACGGAGCCGTAAGACCGGTTTCACACCGCCCTGTGTTATGAGTCATCTTGCGTGGAATAGAAAGCGATTAGAAGAGGCTATAATGCATCGAAGCCATGCTTCATTTGACTGGTCTAATTACCCACTTTAGTCATCACATCCTCGCGTTCGCCTATACAGCGGCTCAAACTCATTCAAGTGGAACAGGGATATTGAAACTACTCAGGTACCCAGATAAGTACCTCGTGCCAACTAGTCATCGAATACGTGGCATCACAGACAACTAACTTCATATAAAGGTCGTGTTGTTTCTGCATATAAGAATTGGCTCGAGGGAGACACAACAGGTGGTGTATGTGTCAAACAACATACCCGGTTTTTACTTATTAGAATTTGCCCTAAAGGACCTATATATGTTGACATCTGATTTCTAAGACCAGTCATCATGGCTCAACTCACTGTAAAGCGCAATAGAAAATATCCTGTACTCATGCCCACGTAGTAGACCCATTCTTGTGATGCCTAGTACCATCCAGTTCTTTCCGACGGAAACCAACAGGCACCTACTAGAACAATGGATACGTGGCCATTTCAAGTCGAATTCATTTAAGTACTAATACTCTTGGGAAAGGTATCAATACTCTTCTCCCCACCCAGCTATGAGTAAATAGCAGGGCAGACCGGGTTCTATAGTCTTGGATGGCAACTGGTCTCCCGCAGAAAGAAATAGCAACCTACTGCGGGAAAAGTCTGTCTCGTCAGTCATGTATCGAAAGATACATGATCACCTAAATATCTGTTTATGTCACATCCTGTCAGCGTGGGCAAGCAAGAAAATACAATCGCTTCTTGGAATTTTGACTAAGATCAAATTGTTGTATCTGTTCTTATCAGTTTAATTTATTTCTTCCTTTCTTTCTTTCATTCTATAATTTTTCTCACTGAAACCAAGTAGTGACTTTTCCTTCTTTCTACGCGATCAAAACGGAATAATCTGTTATTTATGAGGTATTGGCACGACGTAAGGGTCATGCGAACTAATTAATAGATAGTTATAATATGATACTACAGGTTTCGGCATAATTGCCTCCCATATATACCTCCCAGAAAAATTAACTAGATGAAGATATCATTGCCACGAATGACTTACCATTATGTGGGGGTATTTCTGGCGCTCCCTGTATTTATTTATTTTTATGGAAATATTTCGACTAGCCGTTGCCAGTCTTAGTCACTCCTTAATTTGAGTAAAAACAGCGCAAAGAAGCTCGAAACGCTTAAGAATTCAAATCAAAGGAAACAAACCAAGTCGATGACGTTTACAAATAAGATTTTTGTTTTTATTCTAAAAATTGCAGAGCTTTCCAGACAGGATGGAGTTGTGCTGCATCTATCCTATTGCAGGCGTCTCAAAAAAATTATGACAAAAAAAAGCAATTTATAGAGTAAAAAACAAAAATCCTTTTTTTTTTACGCCTCAACTTGCTATTACGTTGTAAAAGTTATCAACTCAGTTTGTTTTCATTGATTTGAATTCTTAAGCAGTTCGACCTTCTTTCCACTGTTTTTACTCATATTAAGGATTGACCAAGACTGGCAAAGTCTAGTCTAAATATTTCCATAAAAATAAATCATTTGTTGGAACTACAAGTTTTTTGTTCTTTTAATTTTATCTCTAACACGGTTGCCTACTGTTATGGTCCGGTTCCTTGTACCCTGGGTGTTAGTCCACGAGTAGAACCAATAAAGAAGAACTCGTATACGGATATGGAATAACACAGATATATTACAAACAGGAATATATACAGAGAAGTAGAAGTGTTAATATGAATAATCAGGTTTAGTAGAGAGAACAATGTAGTCTCGACCAGTATCACTATTCCAATGTCTTGCAGTAATCGTCTGAACGCGACTCTGTTTCAGACTGCTTCTGACTCGACTCTTGACTCGTCTTGAACTACTGACTGACTAGAACTAATGACTCAACTCGAACTACTGACGATATTCAGTCACCCCCCCACGAGGGTGTCATGTGGCACAAGGCCTTTTTAACGTGGGCATTCCCGAGCCATTAGGCTCGGCCAAAAAATAGCCCATTTGAACCCGTATAAACGGGTTCAGGGCCGGTTTTATCTTCTCGAAGGAGACTCCGCCCTTCGGCGGAGCCTCCTTCGGGTTCCTCCCGCCCGTAGGAAGAGAGTTTAACCGAACAGTCGGTTCAGAGTTGAACGACTGACAATATTTAGTCTCCCCCCACTGGGGCAACATGTGACACAAGGTCGGTTGTTTCTTGTGGGTATTCCCGAGCCTGTGGGCTCGGCCTAAAAATATGCCCGTTTGAACCCGTTTAAACGGGTTCAGGGCCGGTTTTACCTCCCCGAAGGAGAGATTATTATTATTATGGTTAAGATCCCATAACACCTACGAAACACATTCCATATTTAATAAAAAGTTTGAGACTGCATCTTACAGCATAGATGATTTCATGTATTGTGACCCCTCGATGAGCAATATAAGTCCAGAACTACAATAACTTCTTGAACTACATTTATAGTCTTACAAAATCTCTTCTGGCATTGCAATCAGTAATTATCTACGCTAAATTTTTATGTGCGGGACATTCAGTACAACAGTGACAAATGTAAGTCTTGTTTGGGAAGGGAGAGAGACATGTCTGTTTGTTTTGTTGACATTAATCAAAGGCTGGGGCGGTGGATTATCCGAGATTATCAGCATGATTATCGCTACTGGCCCGGAAATTGCTTTGGCACGTGACTGCACGCTTTCTGTGCACGCACAAGCCGCGGGGTAATTGGTGTCACCCGGATATTAAGAGACGATCAGATCGTTGGTTTCGTCCTCTTGTAAAAACCAAATATTCGGCTCATTAAATACAGGACAAGAAAAAAAAATAAGGAAAGCTTCAAAGATTGAAGAGATGCGGAAGAAGTAGACAGAGGGAAAGCGACGAAGTGGGAGTGAACATGTAAAACGAGAAAGCGATAAAGAGACAAATTGATGAAGACGAAAACTTCAAATCAAATATCAAAGAAGAGGAAGATGAGAAGGACTTGAGAAGATGGAATGAATAAAGTAAGAAAGAAAGAAAGAAAGAAAGAAGGCGAAAAGAAGGTAAAAAGAGAAAGTGAGAAAGAAAGACGAAAGTGTAGAATAAAATATCAAAAAAGATAAAGAAGATTGGAAAAGATGAAAGAAGGAAGGAAAAGAAGAAAGAAAGAAAGAAATATGTTTATTAGGAGCGAAGTGTGGCTGCCGACACTGTAGTTTGAACATAGATCGCCAGTGAGCAAACACTGTCGATTCCATTATTTAATTAATTAGATCACGTGATCATAAAGAAAATGAATAAATAGTGTTATGGGACCTTACCCATAATAACATAATACACTATTCCATACGCAATAAATACTGCGCCTCAAGAGGGAGCAGTGGGTTCTGTCTGAAGTCGGACGACCGGCTGACCGGCTGATCGGTTAAACTCTCTGCTTTCGGGCAGGGAGGAACCTGAACGAGGCTACGCGGATGGGCGGAGGCTCTTTCGGGGAGGTAAACGGGTTCAAAAGGGCATATTTTTGGCCGAGCCCAGGGGCTCGTAGATCCCACGTTAAACCGGCCTTGTGCCACATGATGCCCTCGTGGGGTGGGGGGTGACTAAATACTGTTCTGTCTGAAGTCTGGAGTGAGGTCCGTCAGAAGTCCGTCAGGAATCAGTCAGTCGAGTCAGAGGCAGTCCGAAACAGAGTCGCGTTCAGATAATTACCGCAAGACATTGGAATAATGATACTTGTCGAGACTACATTGTTCTCCCTACTAAACCTGGTTGTTCGTACTAACACTTTCTACTTCACTGTATATATTCCTGTTTGTAATATATCTGTGTTATTCTATATCCGTGTTCGAGTTCTTCTTTATTGGTTCTACCTTGGACTATCACCGTGGTACAAGGAACCGGACCATAACAATAAGCTGCGTCCGTTCAGGACATGGGAAATCATGGCTGTCAACAACTAAACAACTTTTGACTCTTTATCACTCCTTCTTGTTCCGTCTCTGCCAACCATCCACACGAACTCCTTAGCTAAAGGGTTCTCTCTATCCCCTTACCAATCCTTCCTTTAATTCTTCATGCGACTATTAAATGTTGCAAGCCGTCTCTTCGTGAGGAGACAGTTTGACCCTCACTGTCATATAAAAGATTACCTCAGATCATCATCATCATCTATAAACAGCCCCCCCTTCTATAATGGCTCTCTGCAACTACTTGTCCATTGTAGCAAAGTTTGACTCTTTATCATCCATTCATGTTACTACTCTGCCAGTCATTCACACTTACTCCTTAGCTAAAGAACTCTCTGTATCCCTTTATCCACCTTTCCTTTAGTTCCTCGTTCGGCTATCAAGTTTTGCAAGCCGCACGTCCTTATTGTTTGTTCCAGAAATGTCATCTGTTTACACCAGAGTTTGTCATTATTAAATGCTGATCTTGTTACACTGATATTCACGAATGCAAAATGCGTACAATATGAGACCAGGTGATGGATAAGAACTTTCTTTTGACCAAATATAAATCAAAGTGTTCATCCATTCTTTGAAAATTAGTATTCAAGATTATGTCTTTTTTTGTTTCTTTTTTTATATGCACATGATCATCGACTATTTCTAGTCGTAAAAGCTGATTAAATACTTAAACCTCGAAGCGTGCTCAGAAACGCCATTAAAACATCGACAATCGACGAGAATTACGTCATTAGAATTACTGTTAAGTTATATCAATCCTCTGTGACATAGACCTAAATATTTAAATGAAAATCAGACGTATTATCAATCTACCAAATGACACGCTTTCTTTGTGTTTCCTTTTTCTTTTTTCTTTCTTCTCTTTCCTTATTTCCTGTCGAGAGTGAGAAGTGTCGGGATGGAATGAGGGTCGCTTAACGACAATTTGACCTCCTAATGGAATAAGTAAAATTCGGTCACCCAATCCCACGTGACATGTGCCGCCAAGTGTGCATTTTAAATATATTTTCAGTTGCCGACTAAGTCAATTCGCGAATAAATTGACTCCCACCGTGTGCTCATTTGAAATTCGCCTATGAACTTATTCGATTACTAGATGTGTAAAGAATAAGAAAATATTATTCCCGAAGAAATCTTCCTTGCCTTTTTATGGACCTATTCCATTGCTACATGTGTAACGAATGAAAATATATAATTCCAGAAGAAATCTTCCCAGTTTTATCTAGGATCTATTCGATTGCTAGATGTGTAACGAAAAAAAATATAATTCTAGAAGAAATCTTCCCAGTCTTATCTTGGACTTAATAGATTGCTAGACGTGTAACGAATAAAAATATATAATTCCAGAAGAAATCTTCCCAGTTTTATCTTGGACCTATTTGATTGCTAGACGTGTAACGAATAAAAATATATAATTCCAGAAGAAATTTCCCAGTCTTATCTTGAATTTATTTCGAGTACTAGATGTGGGAAGAAATAGAAATACTATTCAGGAATCTCCAAATTTATAGTGCAGAATGAATGGTCACCGATTTTCATTTGCAAACTCTAAAGAACTTCTATCTGTTGTTATGAACACTTCAACTTAGGAACTCATAACCCATGGATAACCGGAATGATATCCAGTATCAGATGAATACATTTCGTTCATTATATCTTATATGTTATCTTATATTCTTTCCCTATGCAATATTTCCCTATTTTATATTCTTATATAAAATAGGTTTTAAACTTCCATCCTGTGTTTATTGTTCGTTGCTTTTACCTGAACGATTCTATCATTTTTTTTTAACCTAGATTTCACATCCGTATATTCCTTGATGAAGATACTTGAACCATCGGAAATGTGGTTCTACAGAACTTATGCAGAGGATACCATGAACAGAGCATGTGAGAAACGATGAAGTTTTAGAGAAAATAGAAACGAAAAGGACAATTGTACTTAACATCAGAAAGAGACAGTTGCAAATTCTAGGGCACATAGAAGAAAAATATGTTTATATTTCGAAGATGTTGCTTAAAGAATGAAGAATTTATCTATAAATATCGACTTCAGTATCTGTCTATATTTCTGAAATGAGGTATTATGTGCACTATTTACATTATTTTGACTATGGTCCTCATCTTTGTCGCCTTATTCATTACAACGTTTCGGCCGTTGTACGCTCCGGCTTTTTTCAGGTAGTTGGAATGTCGAACTGAACCTTTTCATTCATACACAGATGCCCTCAAGGACACATGGACAGTGGATAAAGGCGTTGGTTAGATCCAGTGACAGGACCCAAAACAGTGTGAGTCCAATACCCGGTTCCAACTACCTGAAGAAGACCGGATCGTACAACAGCCGAAACGTTGTAAGAAATATGGTGACAAAGATGAGGACAATAGTCCGAATAATGTAAATAGTGTAAATATCAACTTTATAAAATTGCTGTTCCGCTTAAATTTTAAGGAAACTTATATAACAATGTCTCAAAAAGAATAAGAATTAAAATACTATTATTTTATCCAGGAAGCCTTGACAGGAACCTACTTTAACAGAACCCAAAGTTATTTAAGCGGTTTGCACACGGTTCTCTTCGAAACAAGATGGCGGTAAATGTTGCATAACATTTTTTCTGCAAGGAATGGAGCAGATAGAGTGATTAAAACAGCAAGGAAAAGAAGCGCGAAATGAGTTTAAAAAGCGGGAAAATGTCGTCTGGTTCGTTTAGTTATTGGCAACAGGATATCGACATAGATTCCGGTCGATTGGGAGGATCGAAGTCTTACCAATCGCCTATCCTTGGGGGGAAAGCAACTCAAATTAGATCAAATGATTTCCACCAACACTTAAATCAGGAGTAATCACGAAAAAAAACGCAAAATAACCCTTCCCGCAAAAAGGGGAAAAAATGACGACTCCATTGTTGAAGAATGAAAGTGAAAATGAGACTTAAATGGCCGGAGAAAGCTTGGAAAGAAAAGACATATAAAATCGTTTTGTTACATAGCAGGAAGGGCAAAAGTAATTGTTCTTTAATGAAAAGCAGGTTGAGTGAAGAACGGAGCAATGGCGGAACGGGAAAAGATAGTAAGAATAAAATTGGTGAACTCTCACTAAAGAAGAGCGAAAAGTATAGCCAGGTCTTTAAAAGTAATGATAGTTTGATAGGAAAAAAGCACGTATAAAAGAGAGAAAGGAAACGAGAAAGAAGAAGAAGGAAAGAAAAAACGAAAAGGATAAAATCAATACAAAGGACAATAATAAGATTATAAAACAAAAAAAGGAAAAGAGAATAAGTGACAATCTAATCCTGTAATTAGGGTTTGGGTTGAAACAAAACTAATAAGGGTGAAAAGAAACAATAAAATACTGAGAATGGTTGAGCGTAAAAGAAAGACAGAAAGGTAAGAAAAGAAACCAAACGCGAAATGAGAATGACAGAAAGTACGAAAAAAAAGGAAGAGATATTGAAGTCAATGGAAACAAAAGAAGAGACAAAAAGATGATAAAGATAAAAAAGAAAGAAAAAACTAAGAAACTAAAAGAAATGAACGAAATGAGGAAGAGAGGGTACAAAGGCAATGTGATAGCCAGATGGATCGATAGAGAGGGAGAAAGAAAGGAAATAAGGAATTGATGAAAGGAAAGATACGGGGGTAGAGAATAGAAAGGAATACAGAATATATGGAATAGAAAAAGAAAAAACAATTTGAATAAATAAATTAAAAGAAAAAAAAACGAATGAATTAATAAATGATAACGAAAGCTAAAACTTTGAATAGCGAACTGGTGAACAGAAGGGGAGAGAAACAATCAGATGTAAAAAAGAAAGAAAGGCAGAAAGGAAAAAAAAAGAATGAGAGATGTTGAAAGGATGAGGGAACGAAGAAAGGATAAAGGTAAAAGAAAAAGGATAGAATAAGGAAGTCAAAAAAAAAAAAAAGAAAGGAAGAATTAAGAACCTGAAAGAAGCGAAAAAGAAAAGGGAAAATGAAAGAGAAAAGAAAAAAGAATTAAGAAGCCGAAGGTAAGAAAGCTCGAAAGAAGAGATGAAGCAGAAACTATATAGTAGAGAGGACGAAAGAAAGGAAAATGAATAAAAGAAAAAGAGAGAGAGAGAGAAAAAGAGAGAGAAGAATGAATATTGCACTGGAATAAGAAGCAATGAAAGAAAACTATCTAAATGTAGCAAATACAAATCTTAACATATAATTGTCGTCGCTTGAAGTAATCAGGAAAATAAAATAACCATAAGGAAAACAAATAAACAAATATATATATATATATATATATATATATATATATATATATATATATATATATATATATATATATATATATATATATACAGGTGTGTGTGTGCTTGTAAAATAACAAAAAAGAAACAAGCAAAGGCGATACAAACATTACAAAGAAATACACCAATGAAAATGTAAAAAGCTGGACAATTTATATTGTGGTCTAGAAAGAGAAATAATTGGAACACATGTCTGCCACAAGGGTAGGTTAATGTTCTTTTCTTTTCTTTTTTTTTTTAGATTAAATAGCACTTATTACCTACGGGCAGAATGGTGGGTCGGTTGAGGGGTGATTGGATTTGCCATGAAAGTCGCTATTAGCTGTCTGGTAGTAAACTAGATTCGAAACTGGAGGAATACAACAGAAGACAAAAAGAAAAAGACATGGAAATCTCTTAGAAAAAAAAAAAAAGGAATGGCAGAAGAACGATTAATTGATAGGAAAAAGAAAGAAAGGTAGATATAAGAGTGGCCCAAAGAGAAATGGGGAAAAGAAGGGAAAGACAAAAACGAAAACAAAACAAAAATCATTTAGAGGTAGAAGAAATTGACGAAGAATGTTGATAAGTAGAGAGATTGGCATAATCAACTCATACCTATCTATCTATCTATCTATCTATATCGGTATCTATCTATCTATCTATCTATCTATCTATCTCTCTCTCTCTCTCTCTCTCTCTCTCTCTATATATATATATATATATATATATATATATATATATATATATCAGTGTCTCTCTCTCTCTCTCTCTATATATATATATATATATATATATATATATATATATATATATATCAGTGTCTCTCGATATCTATCTATCTATCTATCTATCTGCCTGTCTGTCTGTCTATCTATCTCAGTGTCTCTCGATGTCTATCTCTCTATCCATCTATACCAGTTTCTCTCGATATCTATCTATCTGCTATAGATGGATATCTATCTATCTATCTATCTATCTATCTATCTATCTATCTATCTATCTATCTATCTATCTATCTATCGCAATCTATCTATCGTATCTATCTATCTATCTATCTATCTATCTCAGTGTCTCTAGATATCTATCTCTCTACCCATCTATATCAATGTCTCTCGATATCTATCTATCTATCTATCTATCTATCTATCTATCTAAAGTGTTTTTGTATGTGGGCGTGTGCTGGCAGTATAAAAATGATATGATTTGAAGAAAAAAGCTGGAAAATAAGAATAGCGATAAAAAAAATATCCCAAATTCAATAAAAGCAGATGTGTTTTTTTTTTTTTTACTTTTTCTTAAAATTCCAGACCCATTTAATCTCAGCATAAAACCCTCGTACCACGCAGAAAGAATCAAATAGAAAAAAAAAACGAAATAATTTGATTTCTAAAGATTTTTATTGTGAACAAATACGGCCCCACGTAATTGTTAAAGTCACCTGGAGGAGGCGAGAAAGATTCCTATCGGAATTCGGAACGAAGAAAGCAAAGAAATTGGCAGAGCTAAAGAGAAAGTGAAACTGAAAGTAAACAGATAATGTTTTAAAGAAATTAACAGATAATTGCACACATTTTTTTTTTTTCGTGCGGGAAATTTTGATTTAAGTAAACATCGGTAGGTCATTGACTATCAACTTTATTTGTGAGTCTATCTAACTATTTTATGACAATCATCGCTATTTACGTGAATTCATTTATCTGGTGAAATTTGCTCACACACACATACACACACACACACACACACACACACACACACACACACATATATATATGTATATATATTATTCCTGTGAAAGGATGGCCATTTATGTTCAAGTCGTCTTGAAACCAAATGGCCATCCTATCATTGGAATTAACGTTGTCATGTGTTTTTACACTGTCTAGGTAATCTAGGCATTGAGTAATTTACTGAGCATAAGTGGTTTAACTTTAGGTCTTTATTTGTTTTCTTATTGCTGTCCTTGTTCGAGTTTTGATCTTGTTTAAGGGTATTTAGGTCTTTTGTCAAGTTGTCCGTTGGTTCCACCGGTGGATTGTTTTTTCTTTAATGCATATGTACTGGCTGGTCACTCGTATCGTATGTCTACTGCAGCGGTTAGCTAATCACCACTGCAGACGCCTGTTCGGGTACATTTGTGTTGTTTAACACTCACATAAGCCACCTACCGGTAACTAGCGTGATCAACAGTTTGAACAAGACCAGCACGGTCACACCCTCGATCACGATGACCGAGGGTGTGATTGGAGGTGTCACTGTGCCAGCACAACCAACGACGGTGACGGCTCCATATATATATATAATCTATAGCGAAGACAAATTGAATAAAATAGACAATCGTATATATATATATATATATGTGTGTGTGTGTGTGTGTGTGTGTGTGTGTGTGTATGAGCGTGTGTTTGAGTGAGTGTGTGTGTGTGTGTGTATGTGTGTGTGTGTGAGCGTGTGTGTGTGTGTGTGTGTGTGTGTGTGTGTGTGTGTATCACGGTGGAGATATGAATAGCCGCTCGGATTGAGGAGAACTGAAATCGAATTCCCGTCGAATCCATTACATTAATTTACGTGCCAATTCCCTTGAGAAAGGTATGAATCCTTTCTACCCCTCCCCCGAATAAGTAGCAAATTTAGGTAAATAGCAGGACAGACTGGGTTCTATAGCCTTGAATGGCAACTGGTCCAGGAGAAGGAAAACTCTGAATTCAAAAACCTGCAGATGGTCGTTTGGGGACCTTGTGGCACGTAGTGCACCAGGTCTCTGTATTCAGCCCTTCAAAAAGTGTGGTTGGTTCTGCACAAAGCCTTCACTCCTATAATCAAATCATATGTGCAGGTGTCTGTCTGTCTGTTCATAGGGACTGAGTAATACGTCGTAAAAGAATCCCCGGTAGGCGCGGGTCAACAGAGTTTACGATATATATATATATATATATATATATATATATATATATATATATATATATATATATATATATATATATGAAAGATTTCTCAGAGTTAACCTGTAGAATAAGACAATATTTATAAAAGTAAAAGACAATAGGAAAACTGTAATAGTAGCCGACGCGTTTCATCCAATGTGGACATTTTCAAGTAACTAATAATAACAAAACAAAATGTCCTTAGCAAATGGAAGAATTTAGAGAACGCCATTTTCATACTGTTAACTGAAAATTACGTCAATTACTGTCACGTGTGGAGATATTGTTTTTATTGTTGTCTGGATGGATTCAAGATATCAAAAGAAAAAGATTGAAAATATCGCGAATATACTGTTAAAATTAGTCATTTGCATACAGGAAAGAGTATATATTTCACGACAAAGCCGATAGCATAAGTTGAAATGGGTCAGTTGAAAGGGCTTTAGATTCAAAACATTTCCTATGTAATCGTGCAGCTTAATCTACATCACATTAATCTCCAGATGCTATTTTTCTAAGAGTAGCTTAGATGTGGCACAATGCTGAATGTATGGTGGTAATCAGTAAGGATCTCACTATTCAATCGTAATTGTTCTAGCGATTCAAGCTTGCTACTACATCACGTTTTGATGCCCTGATTTACTGAGCATAGTTTAGAAGTGGCACAAGACCGTAAGTGTGGTGCCCCCAGTGGGATTCGAGCACAACGCTCAATTGTAATTGATCTAGTGCGACAAGCTTGTTAACCATTACACCACGTCGAGGTGAATAACGATTGAATGCAGGTGATAGTTAAAACATTTCTGAAGATGATTTACGCCATGCATGATATTCACAAGAAATTCTAATCAAGACGAGGCAATTTTAATACATAAGAAGGAGGCACGGTGGAGTAATGGATGGTGGCTCGGATTAAGGAATCAGCGAGCCGAGTTCGAATTCCAGTGGAATCCGTTAGATTCGTTTACGTGCTCGTAACCTTGGGTAAGGTATGAATACTCTTCTTCTCCCGCCTGCTATGGAGAAATAGCAGGACAGATCGCGTTCTATAGCATTGAATGACAACTGGTCTACCGCTGAAAGAATTTGATAATCGACAGCGGGGAAATACCTGCCACGTCATTCATGTATCGAAAGATACATGATTGACTAAGCGTCTATCACATAATTGAATTAACTTTAGTTTAGCGGCATATTAGTCTCTCTGGCTATAGCGAATCTACGTAATTTTATGTCTTCAATAAAGTGGCTGGTCCGACTCGATCCTGTGTCCTTCCCACGCTGGTCAGTACTGCCGCCGCTCAAATGGTTATTTGCTTGCCGCTGAAAGAAATAGCAACCTACTGCGGGAAAATATCTGCCTCATCACGCATGGCCTATAACTGACTGAAGGATTTTTGTCTTGTAGCAAGTGTTACGAAAAAGTACATAGTGCAGGCAATCCTTTATATTTATTTTTCTTATACGTAATTAATCACAACTGATCGATACATGAATGTATTTAAAGTGTTTCGAATTTATTACTTGAATCTTTATAATGAATACATAGTAGGTACCATCACAACTTTCATTATAATGCCAAATCCTGATTTCTGTTTTTATAATGGTTTATCTCAAGACGAGTTTCATAGTTGTTGATGCACACATAAATCGTGTATCTAGGTAGATAAGCATTGATTCTCACCTGGAATACATCACCCCGTGCCAGCATGGAGTTGATCACACAAGGCCGAGAAAAAAAATATTCTGATAGCGTAGGAATTAGATACTGCTTGTTGAAAATTCATTCTAATTGCTAGGACATTTTCTCAGTGGAACTTTCTAAAGGGCATCTTTGGATTATTGACTTTCAATGAATGTGCTATCGATGTCTTGCGAACTTCGATAGAAAACTTACCAGATGGTCTGACCAAAAGAAATGTGGTCTAGTATTTCCAGAGAAGTTAATTCAGTTTAGGTTGTAGCCGTTAGCAAGACTTCTGTTTGGTGGATGAAGATATACGGAAAACAATCCTCGTTATAATTCTCCTACTGTTAAATATCCTCTTGGGGAGACTGGTTCTTTTTTGCTGTTGGAACTGTCCCAGGGCATGATGAAAATTTATTTAGACAATGAACAGAGCCACATAAATTGAAGTGTTAACAGACATATTGATATCGGTTGAAGCGAGTAGTTTGATACCTGTTAGGTGAGTGTTTTTTGACTTTTGAAATATGTTTACTTTCGTATGAATCGATTCATCAATATTTCTTAGTGTAGAAATTGAAAAAAAAAATTGAGTAATCGAAGTAACGCGTCTATATTGGATAAGTAACAATTTGAAATGATATAGAGATAGTGTAAATGGATACCGGCGAGGAAAGGGAATTCAGCGTACCGAGTTCAAATACCTAGGTAGTTACT